AAAAAACAGCTAAAAACAAACTCGTAAGTGGAGACAATGCAAATGTTCATCACAAAATGAACTGGTACATAAAATGTGGTATATCCATATAATGGAATACTATTCGATTACAAAAAGGAATGAAATAGGCCGGGCGCAGTGGCTCATGCCTGTAATCCCAGCACTTTGGGAGACCGAAGCAGGCGGCTCACGAGGTCAGAGATCGAGACCATCCTGGCCAATATGGTGAAACCCCATCTCTACTAAAAGTACAAAAAATTAGCTGGGCATGGTGCGTGGTGGTGCATGCCTGTAGTCCCAGCTACTCGGGAGGCTGAAGCAGGAGTATTGCTTGAAACCAGAAAACGGAAGTTGTAGTGAGCTGGGATCGCACCACTGCACTCCAGCCTGGTAGAGCGAGACGCTGTCTCAAAAAAAAAAAAAAAAAAAAAAAAAAAGAATGAAATACTAACACATGCTACAATGTGGATGAACCTTGAAACATTATGCTAAGTGAAAGAATCCAGTCACAAATGACCACATGTGGCCAGGCATGGTGGCTCACGCCTGTAATCCCAGCATTTTGGGGGGCCCGGGTAGGAGGATCATTTGAGCCCAGGAGTTCAGGACCAGCCTGAACAACATAGTGAGACCCTCATCACTACAAAATAAAAACGGAAAATTAGGCATGGTGCAACACACCTGTAGAATTAGCTACTTGGGAGACTGAGGTGGGAGGATCACTTGAGCCCCGGAGACTGAGTGCAAGTGAGCTGAGATCAGCCACTACACTTCAGCCTGGTCTCTAAAAACTAATAATAACTGGGGCTGGGCATCATGGCTCACACCTATAATCCCAGCACTTTGGGAGGCCAAGGCAGGCTGATCATTTGAGGTCAGGAGTTTGAGACCTGCCTGGCCAAAATGGTGAAATCCTGTCTCAAAATAAATTAGCTAGGCATGGTGGCAGGTGCCTGTAATCCCAGCTACTTGAGAGGCTGAGGCAGGAGAATTGCTGGAACCTGGGAGACGGAGGTTGCAGTGAGCTGAGATCCCGCCACTGCACTCCAGCCTGGTGACAGAGACTCCTTCTCAAAAAAAAAAAAAAAAAACTAATAATAATAAATAACATTTAATAAGGAAATGCCCAGAATAGGCAAATCCAGAAGACAGATAATAGATTCATTGTTGCCTGTGGCTGGAGGGTGGATAGAGGTATTTGAGGTGAAAACGAAAGGGTAAAGGAGTTTTTAAGTGATGAAAGTGTTCTAGAATTGATTGTGGTGATAGCTGCACAGCCACAAGAATGTACTGAAAGCCACTGAACTGTACATGTCAATCCTGATTGCATGGCACATGACTTATATCTCTAAAGCTGTTTCCCAAAAAAAGACCCAACTCCTCCTCATATATATATATATATATATATACACACACACACACGCACAGACACACACACACATATATATATATTTTTTTGAGACAGAGTTTAATTCTGTCATCCAGGCTGGAATGCAGTGGTGTGATCTCAGCTCACTGCAAACTCTGCCTCCGGCTTCAAGTGATCCTCCTGCCTCAGCCTCCCTGAATAGCTGAGATTACAGGCGTTCTCCACCATGCTCAGCTAATTTTTATATTTTTAGTAAATACAGGGTTTCACTATGTTGGCCAGACTGGTCCCCAACGCCTGACCTCAAGCCATTTGCCCGCCTTGGCCTACAAAAGTGCTGGGATTACAGGCGTGAGCCCACCGCGCCCAGCCTAAAAAAAAAAAAATCATTTTTTAAATAAAAAATTTGAGTCATAGTTTTTTAAACACAACAAGAGTACATTGAACATACTTCACATTCAGAACATGAAGCCTTTTAAACGAATAGAGGTAGAACTTCCAGGCTTTGTAACAGAAATCATATTATAGACTCTGAGTAACAAGACTAATCCTCAAATCCCCCATCTGTTAACCTGATAATCCTCATGTGTAAGCCAGTTTAAGAAGCTAACTCCTGAGCCCACCTGTATTCTCAGCATTGTAATAAAGAGGTAAAGATTTTAATATTCCAAGTTAATTTTGCTTTATAAAAATGAAAGTTTCATGAAATATCTGTGGACACTGAAACCCAAACAACAATTTTCTTCTTTTTTTTTTGAGATGGAGTCTCACTCTGTCACCTAGGCTGGAGTGCAGTGACATGATCTCAGCTCACTGCAACCTCCACCTCCCCGGTTCAAGCGATTCTCCTGCCTCAGCCTCCTGAGTAGCTGGGATTACAGGCACCCGCCCCCATGCCCAGCTAATTTTTCTATTTTCCGTAGAGACGGGGTTTCACCATGTTGGCCAGGCTGGTCTCGAATTCCTGACCTCAGCTGATCTGCCCGCTTCAGCCTCCCAAAATGCTGGATTACAGGTGTGAGCCACTGCACCCAGCCCCAAGCAGCATTTAAAATTTCCCACATCACCAAACTCTAGAAAGTCACAGAAAAAAAAAAAAAAAAAAAACAGTTGTTATAGCAGTATCACTCAATTCCTTGAATGCTTCAGTTATATGCACCAGGAAAAAAAATCTATTGTTGGAAATCATTTTAAATAAAATATTCAGATGAGAAGTCTATTAGCTCCTCCTCCACTTTTGTTGGAAACCAAGTATTGGAAACCATCCAATTTTTTTTTCTCTTTAGACAGGGTCTTGCTCTGTCACCCATGCTGAAGTGCACTGGCATGATCACGGCACGCTGTAGGCTCGACCTCCTGGGCTCAAGTGATTCTCCCACCTCAGCCTCCCCAGTAGCTGGGACTTCAGGCTTGTGCTACCATGCCTGGCTAATTTTTGTATTTTATAGAGTTAGGGTCTCACCGTGTTGTCCAGGCTGCTCTCGCACTCCTAAACTCAAGCAATTCTCCCCCTTTTACCTCCCAAAGTGCTGAGATTACAGGAGTGAACCATTACACCTGGCCAAACCATCCAATCTGTAAAGGATTACTTTCCCTTCTTCAGCACCCACAGTAAATCAACATTTTCAATTGAGCCTTTGCTGCCCAGAAGGTGTTTACAGTCTGGAGTGAGAGATGTGCCTTTCTTTTGCAAAATGAGGGAGAGATAATGCTGAGAGGGGAGGTGGGACTTCTTTGTACACCTTGAGGGATT